GCACGTCGAGATGCCGGCAGCTCCCTCTCTCAAAAGAGCACGCTATTTCCCGTGCTCTCTGACCTGCCGGCAGCTGCCATCTCGCGGATTTCGACGAGCTGCCGGCAGGTTGCTGGCAACTTACCTCGCGAAGTTGCCAACAGCTCCTTCTGCGCTTCCAGATATTTTATCACGGGAGGATTTCTAGAACCGCAGATTTCTATAGAGTTTTCCACAAAGTCTAGGCGGCATCTTTATAGAGAAAAATTTTTTGGAAATAGGCCTGGGACCACCTAAATTTGGGGTTTCACTTTCTGGCCACCTCACGGAAAAGGTGCCAGCGACCTGCCGACGAGACCTGCCGCCAGGTCGGGGGGATTACTACCGGCCCAGGTGTTACTGATGTTAGCGACAACGATTTTTTTAGAAAAGTCGGACAAGTTCATCACGCAGAATACAAGCACGTATTTCGATGTTCAGGCTATCGAATACATACATCTTTGCTGCTTTCCCTTGCGTGCATGTAGTAGCGCCGAATTAACATGCTACTGTATTCAAATATGTTGCTTTTGCATAGGGGTACAAAAAACGTCTATATCTTTCTCTCTAAAGGCCGCATGCGTTAACATCCCCGCCGGGGAGGGGATCGCAGCTTAGAAAAAAGCTTCATATCCTAAAGCTCCAGATATCTGGATTTCATGTTGTCTACCTATCCGTAATATTCCCACCATCCTTCACTTTATACATCTTGAACAGGAGCAAGAAGTTGCACATACAGCATTTTCGATCTTTTTGTAGGAATCCCGGATGATCCCCGGCGACCGACAGTCTTTTCTTTAGAGTCATTTTCCATAACATTCCAAAGTTGTCCGATCATCTAACCTAGCAGTGCTAAGCATGTCGCTAATAAGAAGAGGTGATGTTTCGGAGTCACGAAATTTGCGATGAACCACAAGTCGAAGGCTGGGGTTTATCGAAAGATTCGATATTTCAAAAACTCATTTGTTTTTATCAGCAACTAGCTGGCTTACCCGGCTCCGCCGTATGTTCCGAATAGAAAATTCCATTTCTTAACCGATCCGGACCAAACTTGGCACACATACACTTCGGGCCCCGGCGGGTGTCACAGTCCACTTTTCGTTATCGATCGATGTCGATTTTGTCGATTTTTTGCAAAATTTGAGCTACGGGGCTGGAATTTGGCAGAGGGGTGTAACCGAGCATGCTGATCACCCCCACGGGGGTGATCAGCATGCTCGATGCAGGTGCTCGATGCAGTTTGCAGGTGTTTTAAAGTAGGATCTCTCTCTTTTTTAGGAAGGATTTCTTTTTTCTTAAAATGTTTTGTCTAAACACAAAAAGAAGTATTTAACTTATATCTAAAACAAATTTGACCATGGTTAAAAGTGCACATTTTACTCAAATATTAGGAATCTTCAACATCCGCTAAAAGTTGGCTCAAAGGGGTTATTTGACATGCTGATTACGAATGGCATTAATTATGCTTTATAGAGCCTCAATGTTGTGCCTAGGGGAGGGATTTGCAACAAAACTTGGAGGGGGAGGGGGTGAGGGTCCGGCGGTTGTGTGCCACACCTGATGACCCCTTGCTTGACCCTGATTAAAATCACCTTGGGAGTGTATAACTGACAAAATGTTGAGTGTGATGTTGAACGGAATGGGCGTAATCTGGAGCATGAAGAAAAGCTCTCAAACGACTGATTTTTGAAGGGGTGTCAGTGAACATTTGCCATATTTGAACTTTCAAACGATTATTCTTCCTGAGATTCTCGCAGTAGATACGGAATTCAGAATACGCATCGGTACAAAAACAGAAGTTTGCGTGTTATGGAAAAGACACATGAAGGCGGCGTGTTGGCGCAAAGATCATGAGAGGAGCTGGTATCCGTGGCTCAACATCGGTATACAAAGTCCATAACGATGGAGTTGCATTAAGCTCCTTTGATCACAACTAGTTAAACAACCTTTCTGCGGTAAAAATATTCTAAGCAAAACCAGACACTCAAATTTCTTGCATAGAGGCTAGACCATAAGATAAACCTCTCAAAATCTGGGCCTTTTGTCGTTTGATGAAGAAACATTGATACAATTCTGTCTTAGTCCCAAACACGATAGCTATAGAGTTGACAAGATGCATTGAATATAAGAAAAATCACATTTAATGCTCTTGGTAAAGCAAGGCTAACTCTCGGGAGATTATGAGTCTGCATATAATTTGGAGGAACATTGATACAATACATGCTATAAATGCCTGCAGTTTCGTCTTCGTAGCAAAAAGTGCTGCAAGCATCTTTTGTTGTGCTCATTGTTCTATAAAGCACACCATAAATAATAGTTTTTAGAGCTTGGGAAGAAGTCTGGACCACTTTTTGTGCGTCTTATCGTTGGTGCAAGAGATGGTACAATACGTGGTCGGGCATATTATGGAACCATAATGATGCAGATGCCATATATCTGCTCTAGAAAGGCCGATGCTTATGAAGAGAGTGAGTTTGTTTTTGAGGATCTCAAACCTATTGATAAATGCATGCCTCAAATTTTCAACGTGGTTTTTTCCTTCGGATAGAATTTAAGCATTTTGCATCGAGTTTTAGTATGGCGTTGAGCCATTTGCCTTCGGAGGGAGACGGTGAGGGGGAGGGAGGCGGGAGGGCGGGAGGGCGGGGGGGGGAGCACACGAGAGGCAACGCATGTGAAACGCAAACAATGTGAAATCTCCTTAAAGGCAGCGTACACCCAAAACAAATGCAACAGATGTTGCAACAGCAACTGCAACTGCAATTGCAGCTTACGCTGTTATAGATTCGTCCGGAGGAGGCGGAGCGAAAGAAAAGGGGTGGTGTGAAAGAAAATTGAGGGGGGTTTCTCCGCTCAGAAGCAACATTGGGAGACCGGACCAACGCAGTTGGTCTTCTTCTGGGCCCAGTATATACACGGTGTAGAAAGATCTAGGAAATTCGGTAACTCAAATTTTGGGTGTACGCTGCCTTTAATTTACTTCTGCGCAATGCCTTATGGCAGCAAGTAGTCCTGCATGTATGCCTCCAACTCTACTCCCTCCTTTTGCCGGTGGAAAAGCTATTGATTAAGGGTGTGGAGAGTGAAATGTCACTTCCTATCACAAAGTACTTTGCTTCATTAAATCTACGAAGCACGTATCCATTACCTTTGGAGATGGAAAGAAGTGTGGGATATATTGAGCTTGAGTTCCTCCTTTCCCCCTTGTTTGCAGGACTTGACAAGCATGAAAAAAGTTTACGTATTGCCGCTCTCTGTTCCTAATCATCAGCTCTACGGAATGTGGCTTAGTATAGGCCATAGGTGGTCGGTGTAGCCGAGGTTGCCGGCTTTGCCAGGCGTTCTAGGACCTCAGAGTAGCCTCTGTATGTTCTCTAAGCGGCAACCTCACCAATTCGACTAGTTCGGTAACACCGGCAACCCTGGCAACAGTTGCCAACAATATAGATCGATTCCTTAGGCCCGTACGCAAATACATTCCCGCCATAAAGGAAGCGATGTGTAAGTCCATCTCGAGGGGGCTCTTACCTTACCCAAAAAAAGGCATGAATGGTTGCAGCATTTCCGTAAAGGCAGAGATTTTTACATCTGGTTTTTACAAGTCATTTTTTTGGAAACGACTGTAAACTCGCAAAGCTATGCTAATTTTGACCGCTAGCACGAAAATCCCTGCGGCGAGCGAATCGTCGCCTAGAGAGTACTGGTTGCAAGCAAGCGCTGCAGTGTGCTTACAAAGATATGTCCGCATGCATGAACAGTCCTTTCCCCGGCGGGGGAAAGGCAACCTGACAGGAAGGTTTATGACCTGACGCTTCAAAGATCTGGATTGGTCGGTGTACCTCCTCCTAATTTTTTACAACATGTCTTTCCTTGTGGAAAGACGAAAGACAAACGACTCTGATCACGACAGCGCGAAAACGCTCAAAATCTGAAACCATTGCTACTTGATCAACACCATTTACTGGAAGTATAGAGCCAAATCATTTGCTCCGATTTCTTGCTTAGCATTTTTGTCAATTTTCCATACTACGCTTTGAAAAAGTTCAAGTCACGCTTAATGGCAGTGTCATTGCAAGAACTCGATTCTTAGAGTTTCAACTTATTAACGATTTTTATCGATTTTTTTGCAGGGTTCACCTACGGCGCTGAGATTTGGCACAGGGGGTAACCGAGCATGCTAATTACGAATACAATATTAGTTTTTGGAATTATCCGCACTTCCATCGATTTTATCGATTTTTTGCAAAGTTTGAACAACGGGGCTGGGAGTTGGCACGGGGGGGGGGGGAGGTGAGTATGTTTACTAAAACATGTTTACTAAAGCATGTTTACTAAAACAGCGGGAATGGGGAAATGGCATGTAGACGTGGGCACAAGGAAAGGTTGTACAGGGATACGGGTGAGAGCTTCATCATAATGTTTTGACAGGGCCGAGCGGAGCCGGGCAAGCCAGCTAGTCAGTGATAAAACTCTCAGAAGCTTTCAAATAGTGCTTTAAGATCTAATTTTACAGCTCATGTGGAAGACCATGAACTAATGTCTATGTTGGGCTTTCGATCAAAAGCAGGTGCGAGTAAAAGTGGTCATAAACGAGCGTTCGTTATGTTTGGTCACAAACACGCCGTGGAAGCTACCCAGTTTGAAGCTAATTTCAAGAAGCTTCATCAAGGCTGCTACGTTAGTCTTAACTACTTACTCAGTTTATGACTTTCATACAATGTCGGCTATAGCGTGGAATCGGAAGTGAGGATTTAGCTGGAAAGTGTCCTTCTTGAAATTTACTGTCAACGATTTGTAAAAATAAAGGCGTTGCATAGTTTCTGTCAGCATCAGTGATCTATGTTCTGTCAATGTTAAATTTGAAGACATCTGGCAAATTGCCAGATCGCATGGCGACTGAAATTGCATAAATTATACCCAGAGTCTGAAGCCTTTAATCTCACAACAAGTTCTCATGTGATTTAAAAAAAGTGGACCCAGTGCGCAGTTGTTGTGAGTTCCATGAATGGCTTTTTTATGCCACAGTCGAATCATTCCATACAATCATGTGTACATTGTGAGCACCGTCCATATTTGGCGTCCTCATCCTGGATCTGCAATCGCAAAACAGCAAGAGACCGACCGATCGTTATCGCTTGCAGTGCGCAGTGCCCTGAGGTAAGCAGTACATAAAAAGGAAAGAAAGCATAAAGAACACATTGAAAGCACACACACCTGAAAGGTTGTCTGCTCCAAGAATCCAGGATGGGAACGGCAAAAGTGGACAGTGTATGCAATGACACACATGAGCATATGAAATAGTTCGACTTTGACACACATTGTTTACTTTATAACAGGCTCTTCTTCATGGTTTCGTTGCCTCACGACTCGACTTCATAGACCAACGGGAGTACGAAAAAGTTTTGATGGAGGTTAGCTTAACTTGAAATTCCTCATGCACCTACTTTAGCTGTGTCATTTTAGGGGAATGGAATGCTGATTCGAGCTCCACTAGGACGAAACCGAGCTTTCACACTGAAAAATAGTGGGAAATGCGTGAAGGAGCGCTTCTTCGAAAAGCATAGAAAGAAGTGGAATTACGTCAACAACAAGGGGAAATCTTTTGTGAGAAATTAGTTCTTGTAAAACGTTCTCACAAATTCGATCACTTATTTTACTGATCAAAAAACAGATACCCTATTTTCCGGCTTGTAAGCATCTTCCATAAGACGCTCTCGCTGCAGCGAACAATGATGCGAAAAGGTCTTTTGAAAAAGTGTTTTTAGGTTTAAAACTAAAGATCCACTTTGATTTTTATATTGTTTTCTTTCCTTAACAATACTACAAAGTTGACGGTGCTCTATCTTGTTTTCGATGCTATTGGTGTTGTAGCTGTACTTTCTTTCAATTCCAGTGAAACTAATCGTAATCAAAGATGCTTTACCATATTGTTTTCATTGTTGATAGATCTCTTGTAATGAAGCCTTCGGAAGTTTTGGATATCGTCGTCTCTCCGGTGTAGTTGGGGGGAGCATTTGCAGACATTTGAACGCGTTGTTGACTTGTCAGACCTCTATTGCAAAGCATGGTTCTTTGCTCACCAGCGTGTTCAGATGTCTGCAAATGCTCCGCCCAACATGCATCGGAGGAGACGATATCAATTTGCAGAGCCGACTTTAGCTTAGATTTACAGTATGGGAGTCAAAAATCTCGCTTTATTACTGTACCAGTGCGTCACCTCTGCTTCGCAGAGGCTCGCACTGGCCCTACTTTATCTATGCCTTACTCATTCCCGCATAATAATCACATTGAAACTCACCGCGCTGTGTAGGCTATTACGAATGATTCGTAAACAACTAGTCATTTCTAGAAATTTTTCGTGTGAGATCGGTATTTTCGCGTGGATGAAATCTTTCCCAGAAGAACAGATGCAAGTTTGAATAGGTTTCTGGAATTTTTATGGCTTCTTAGTCGCCATAGGAACAACAAACATCGTGTGCCACATCTCTGTGCAAAAATCTTCTCAAATAATCAGGTAAAATCTTGAAAATTTGACCGTTTACACAGCCAATGCTTTTGGAACCGTTTTCGTAAATTAGTAGACTTTTAATCACTTTTTTAAGCTAACGTCCATGGCTTGCACATTAACTTGTCGAATATATCCACAACTCTGCAAAAAGTAGTACTGCGGAGCTAAATTTGCTGGCCAGAAGCCAAGTGGATCCGTTTGACTCGCAATTTTCAACGGATCCACTCAACGGATCCGCTCATGCTTTTGTGTAGTGAGCTTTCGTGCTGGTAGCGCGCGCTATGCAAAATTTGGGCTCAGGACGTTGGCTGGAACACGCTCTACGAATTTCGTAACGGACAGACACACACACAGACAAAAAGACGTAAACATCCTTAGCCGCTTATTATAAGTCATGATCACGTAGGAACTTTGAAGAGGGTTTTGAGTAAAAAGGATCATATTTTATCACTAGAATAAAACCAAAGAAGCTGAAAGCTTCTACACTAGATTAGAGTCACTGATGCTAAACATGAAACACTTCACCTTGAAGCATTTTTCAAAAGTTATGCCAGATATACCATAACAAATTTGTGGTATTCGTCAAAATTCTGATTTGGCCATTGCTACCAAGCGCAAAAAATTTGTGTACTGAAATCAGCATAAATACTTATTCTTGATTTGCTCGGTACTGTGAATCTAAGTTAAAGCCAGTTTTACAAACCGTACCTTAGGCTTCTCGAGAAAGTTATCAACAGTCAAACAGTAGGCACATCTTTTTGGGACACCCACTATATAGAAAGGGTATCACAAAGGTAGCTTTTTGATCGTTCATAACTCTCCTCCCACGAAGTCTTTTGCTTACGAGGGAATGGTCAGAAGTCGAAGTGGCAAAATCAAACAAGCTGTATACCATTCAATCTTATATATAAAGCTGAATGTCTGTTTGTCTGTCTGTCTGTATGTCTGTATGTCTGTCTGTCTGTCTGTACGTATGTTCCGAATAGAAAATTCCATTTCTGAACATCGGGACCAAACTTGGCACACATACACTTCGGGCCCCGGCGGGTGTCATAGGCTACTTTTCGTATCGATCGATATCGATTTTATCGATTTTTTGCAAAGTTTGAGCTACGGGGCTGGGATTTGGCACAGGGGGGTAATCGAGCATGCTGATCACCCCCGTGGGGGTGATCAGCATGCTCGATTACACCCCCTGCCAAATTCCAGCCCCGTAGCTCAAACTTTGCAAAAAAATCGATAAAATCGATAAAAGTAATGCACGGTTTCGAAAACTAATATTGTATTCGTAATCGGTATGCTCGATTACCCCCCTGTGCCAAATCCCAGCCCCCTAGCTCAAATTTTGCAAAAAATCGATAAAATCGACATCAATCGATAACGAAAAGTGGACTGTGACACCCGCCGGGGCCCGGAATGTATGTGTGCCAAGTTTGGTTCGGATCGGTTAAGAAATGGAATTTTCTATTCGGAACATACGGCGGAGCCGGGTATGCCAGCTAGTACAGTATAAAACGCTGACTTCGAATCTGTCTTCCTTATCTGCTTAACGCTTCTGTGGACGAAGCTATAAGCACTTTTATTGTGGAAAAATCATACATAAAAACTGCGAAATTGGGCACATTGTTGCACTTTTAGCTCAGCTTTGACTTCAGGAATTTGAAGTAAATTAGCTGTATGTTTTGGCCCAGCATTAAGCCGAACGTGGCTTTGTACGGCTAAATTTTCACTTTCACACAAAAATTTTTAGCAAAACAATGGCCTTTAATGGCTTATAGCTTCGTTTAGAAAAGCGATAAACAGACAAAGAAGACAGATTTAGAGTCAGCGCTTCATGCTGCATCTAACGCTATGCAGCTTGTCTGATTGGCCTCTTCGATTTCTGACCATTCCCTTGTTAGCTCCAATGCCATTCGGTAAGGTAGGCTTCAACTTAGATTTGCAGTATAGAGCAAATCGCCCATCGCTCTTTATTACTGTAGATTACGGTAGGGAATTTCAGCATGCAGCACCATGACGAAGTAGGCCATTTTAAAGAAAATTTTCAAGTCTGAAAAGTAGTGCAGGTTGTTTTCAAACATACTGATTTCAATAACCAACTTTTACAATTTTTAAAAACGTTTTGAATGTCTTTAACTTACTCGAAAATCACTCAAAGAAAGTACTACGGTTTACTTGACATAACCCATGAAAAATTTTTTAACGGTGTGTGCAGATTTTAGAATGACGAAGTTTTAGGCTCGTTGAGTATTTACTCTGGAGCAAAATGTAGACAGTGATGGCTTAAAACTTTCTTCAGAGTTCCTACTGTAATCATCCTACATTAACAAAGGAAGATGAGTGATTCACTCTAGACTGTAAGTCTAAGTTAACGCCTGCTCCACTGAGTGGTGCTTGAAGCTAAACAAAAGGCTTTGTAAGAAAAATGTTAGTTACTACCTGAAAAGTGTGTATTTACATTTGGGACACCCTGCATATTGAGTTGTCGTTCTTTTATTGCGTAATTCAAACAAAATTCAACAACGTTTCAAAAAGCAGACCTAAATGGATGGTTTAGTATTTGAAAATGGAGGAAGTTTTTAGCTGGACAACAGGTGTTCAAGCTCAACATTCTATAAGTACCACCGAGAACGAAGCTCGTAAAAATGGCGTTTCGAATTTTGCGATTTTGAGTTGTGCTAGAAATTCCTGAGGGCAGCTAGCTAGCCCAAAAAACCTTCAAAACCTTACACACCAAAAGTTCACGTGTTATTGTGGCAGGCTTCAATCTTTTATGGTAGGGTAAAAACAAAAAACTTGTGAAAAAAGTCGTTTTACAGGAAAGTTCCCCTTATCACTGCACCTTTCCAGCAAAAACACTGTTTGCCGTTTCGAAAAGCGTCACAGTGTTCTAGTTAAGCAAAGGCTCTAATTTTTGATTCCGAAATGTCTTTCTATGAAGCGGAGAAGCCGGCGCCACATCACGCCAAACGATGCGCCCGCAACGTGGCGAAGCGAGGCGGCGCCTCACCAATCCACTGATTCACGTCATGTTGAACCGATATTGCACATCTATTCCGCTGCAGAAATTATAGCAAGAACATTCGAAATTCGGTCACCATCTAATTGTTACTAATAGATAAGAACGGGAGAAAATTAGTGCATTGCGAGAGCAGTAAATGGTAACACAGAGGATGAGGTGACACATAAGAAGCTTCCATACTATATAGTTTGCACGTGTTGTTTTCAATGATTAGTAGTATGGAATGTTTGATGACAATCCTTCTCTCATCTAGAGAGGAATGGCTTGTATGAGAGGGTATAGTTCTAGGCGATTCGCATTTGCAAAAAAAATATTAGGTCGGTCCGAAAGTTCGCGCTGTTTTACAGACCCATGCTCAAACCACTTAGACTGAAGATAAACAAATGGTGTAAGCACTATTCAATGCAAAATTTCTTCCTCTTGTCAAATGTTCTGTTTTTGTCCAGATTCTCTTCATACACACTCAGTAATCGGCAGGGATCTCCAACCCATGATTTTCACCCATCTTCAATTTGGCTATTTAAATTTCCAATTTCAAGTGGACTAGCTTCGATAACAATTATAGAATAGTATAGGATATAGAAACAAGATACAATATATTTTTCTGGCATCTCTAGCTGGCTTCTCAAGGTTTTTGGAAATATTTTTCTGATGCTCTCAAATTCCATCTTTGGGCATCTCAATCCTCACAGAACCAAAGACTAGCAACCATGGTGTCATTCGATGCAGCTTTTTCTACTCTTTCTGATAGACTGTTTTGCTTCCTGGCTTGTTTGATATTTGAGGGTGAAATCATCATAATTTTTGTTTTCAGACGTGTCCTTTGCTGTACCCAGAAAATTTGGAATTCAATAGTTCGAACCGCTAAACGCTCAGTTGCTTGCTAAGATTAGTGAGTCATAATCTGTTTTTAAAAGCTTCAAATTCCAAAGAACTGTCAGTATTTGAAGCGATTGTGTATTTCGCTATCTCGCAAAACTAAGGGCTTTTGGAAAAATTATCTTAAGATTTACTGAAGAGTTAGCTGATGAGCCGAAATAAAACATTGTATTGCATTTTTTTATCAATCCAGTT